GAAGAGGCCTTCTTCGCCATGGCACCGGAGTAAACCCGGGACAGAGGCTAGACTCACGTCGGGTGGTTCTTGATCCCCACCGGCCTCGAGGCCTCCGACTCAAATCAAGCGGAGTAGCCCGGCCCATTCGGAGCAGGCCTCCCCGGAAGTCCGGATGCCCGCCACACCAGAAACCCTGCAAGCAGCCCGGGACGTTATGTCCATGCCAGTACCAGGAGCATCGCTGATGACCCCGTGCTCCAGAGGCAAGCTGCCACTGGGATCTCGGCAGTCGCCCTGGCTCGGTACCGGTCTTGGTTGAGGGAATGTTCCTGACGCCGTTCGTTGCCCAGCGACCGTTCAGGGCAGAGTCTACATGGATCACCCTCGACGCTCACCAGGCTGTCTGGTTGGATTCCATCTGACGGAGACTCTCGGCACTGCTCCACCTCGAGGAGCGAACGCTGACTGGACCAAGGCAGACGTCGCCAAAGGTCCTCATCTTGAAGGGGCTATTGCATCTGATCATGGCACAAACTTTGACGTCATTCCCATTCAGTGTCCCACTCAAAACCCCGCCACTGCATGCATCCGATGAAGTGGGTTTTAGCCCACGAAAGCTTACGCTCAAATAAATTCGTTAGTCTCTAAGGTGCCACAAGTACTCCTCGTTCTTTTTGCTGATACAGACTAACACGGCTACCACTCTGATTCCTCCAACAGAAACCGTAGCTTATATTTTTATGATTATTACAGTGGAAAGCAAAGGAGGTCTCATAGTTAAGCATTGGTTATGAGAAGGACTTGGTTGTGATTCTAAAGTTTAACGGAATTTGGGTGAAAGTGATCATGAATAGATAGATTGATCATGATAGACTTCGTGATCCTTAGGAAAGGAAGGAAATGAGTGAGAGTAGCAAAATGACAATGGACTTCAAAAAAAGCAAACTTTAAACAGATTCAGAGAACTGGTAGGTCAAGCCCCATGAGAAGAAAATATAAGGGAAAAGGGAGAGCTGGTAGTTTCTCAGAGACATTATTAAAGGCACAACAGCAAACTAGCCTGGTGTGAAGGAAAGATAGGAAGGAATAGTAAGAGGCCAATATGGCTCCATCAGGAACTCTTTAATTACCTGAAAATCAAAACTATAAAAAGTGGAAACATGAACAAATTGCTAAAGATGAGTACAAAAGAATAGCACAAGCATGTAGGAATAAAATCAGAAAGGCTAAGGAATAGAATTATGTCCCTTGGTAGGTGTGACTCAAAGTTAGGAAAAAGAGGTTATAGAAATACATTAGGAGCAAAAAAAAGACAAAGGAAAGTATAGGTCCTCTACTTAGTTGGGAGTGGGAGAAGATGAGCTCATAGTGGATGACATCAAGAAGACTGAGGTTTTTAATGCCTGTTTTGCTTCAGTCTTCACTAAAAAGGTTAATTTTGACCACATAACTAACACAATTAAGATCAGGCTGGGATGATTTAGTTGGGGATTGGTCCTGCTTTGAGCAGGGGGTTGGACTAGATGACCTCCTGAGGTCCCTTCCAACCCTGATATTCTATGACTGTTAATATTAACAACAAAGAAGAAGGAACATGAACCAGAATACAGAAAGAGCAAGTTAAATATTTACATAAGTTAGATGTATTCAAGTCAGCAAGGCCTGATTAAATTAATCTTAGGATACTTAAGGAACTAGCTGAAGCACTCTCAGAATCATTAGTGATTATCTTTGAGAACTCAGGGAGAATGGGTGAGGACCCATACAACTGGAGAAGGGCAAGCTTACTACCTATATTTCTTAATAAAAACGGGGGGAGGGGACAAAGATGACACAGGGAATTAGTCTAGTCAGACTAACTTCAGTTACTGGAAAGATACTGGAACAAATTATCAAATAATCAATCTGTAAGCACCTAGAGGATAGTAGGATAATAAGTAATAGCTAACATGGACTTGTCAAGAACAAATCATGCCAAACCAACCTAATTTCCTTCTTTGACAGATTTACTGGCCTAATGGATAGCAGGGAAGCAGTAGACATGATATGTCTTAATTTTTAGTAAGGTTTTTGATGTCGTCTCACCAGACATACTCATAAGTAAACTAGGGAAATGTGGTCTAGGTTAAATTACTATAAAGTGGGTTCAACTATGGTCATCAATGGTTCATTGTGGAACTGGAAGGACATATTTATTGGAGTCCTGGAGAGGTCAGTCCTGGGTTTGGTACTATTCTGCATTTTTGTTAATTCTTTGAGTGGAGAGTATGCTTATAAAATTTGTGGGTCGCATAAAGGTAAAAGGGGTTGCAGCATTTTGAAGATAGGTTTAAAATTCAAAACAAATTAGAGAATTGGTCTGAAATCAACAAGATGAAATTCAATAAGGACAAATGTGAAGTAATATACTTAGGAAGGAAAAAATCAAATGCACAAATACAAAATGCAGAATACCTGGCTAGGCAGTACTACTGCTGAAAAGGATCTTGGGGTTCTAGTGGATCACAGCTTAAACGTGAGTCAGCAATTGGTGTTGTTGGGAAGAAAAGCTAATATTCTGGGATATATTAGCACGAGAGCAGTATGCAAGACATAGGAACTAATTGCCTAATGAGGCCTCCTCTGGAGTACAGTGTTAAGTTCTGGGCACCATACTTTAAGAAAGATGAGGAGAAATTGGAGAGAGTCCAGAGGAAAGCTACACAAGTGATTAAAGGTTTAGAAAATATGATATATGTGGAAAGGTTAAAAAATGGGGCATGTTACGTCTTGAGAAAGAAGATTGGGGGGGGGGGAGACATGTTAAATGCTGTTATAAAGAGGACCGTAGTCAGTTGTTCTCCATGTCCACAAAGGTAGGACAAGAAGTAATCAGTTTGATCTTCAGCAAGAAAGTTTTAGGTTAGCTATTAGGGAAAACTTTCTAACTATAAGGATAGATAAGCACTGGAATAGGCTTCCAAGGGAGGTTGTGGAATCCCCATCATTGGATGTTTAAGAACAGGTTAGACAAACACCTGTCAGGGATGGTCTAGATTTACTTGGTCCTGTCTCAGCTCAGGAGGGCTGGACTAGATGACCTCTTGAGTTTTCTTTCAGCCCTACATTTATGTGATACCATATGTACCAATAACCATCTGGCCCCCTTACTTGTTGTTTGTTCCTTTTCCATATCACTCCATCTTTCTGTTTTAGATTGCAGGCTCTTCAGGTTAGGAACTATGCCTTCTGTTCTGATTTTTTTTTTAAACATATTTAGGGTGCAACTAGTGTGGCATGGGACTGAGAGTCGGTCCCAAATATAATCCTCTCTCTGCTGCTGGCTTAGTATGACTTGAGGTGACCTAACCTCTCTGTCCATAACACCAAGAGTCCTCATCACTTAAAGACTAGTGATTGGATATCTGAAGTTAGGTACTTGAATCCATACTTAGGCAACTAAATAAGTGGCTCGATTTTTAGAAATGCTGAGCACCCAAAACTTCTGTTGACTTCAGTCAGAGCTATAGGCATTCAGCACCTTTGAAAATCATGTTGCTAATTTACATCCTGAAAAATAAACTTAAGGAGCTAATTTTGAAAATTTTAGCCATAATGTCTTTTCAGTTTCCCTATCTATAAATTGGGAATAATAGCTAATTCCCAGGCATGTTGTGAGGAACAATTAGCTAATGTTTGTGAAGCCTCTAGCATCATAATATCTAAAAGCTGTGCTTATCAACTCACTTAGCACTCAGAATATCCCCATTTGATCTAATTGGTCTCCTGGTTCAGGAATTTTCATGCTTTTTCCCTTTTATCACCTCCTCCTCTCCTTTCTATCTTTTTTTTATTATTACGCCTCTGATGACTCCTTCTTCGTCTTACTCGAGATTCTTACTATCATGGTGTTTTGGGGTGTGTTGGAAGAGGTGGGTCTCACTTCTTGAGCTTAATATACTCAGAGTTGGTTCATTCTGATGTCCCCTTGCAAGCTATTTGATGACCCACTGTTATGGACGCTCTGTTCCCAGCAAGTCAGTCAGTAAGACCCTTTTGTCGTGCATCTGCCTTAGAGGCTACAGGTGGTGAGGCAGTCACTGAAATAACAAGGAACATCAACCCATTTACGGTCATGTAAGATAGAAATAGGACTTTGCTTTGGGCCGAATTCAAACAGGGAACCAGTGGATTATGCTTAGCAATAGAGTTGCCCTTTGTTGCTTAAGAGTTGGTGTTAATATAGGCTATGAGCCCTTGTCTGAGCCTGTTCCCTTGTCAGCTGCCCTAGTTCCCCCCATCCTCTGTTCCATCCTGCTTCTTTGAGACCCTCCAACTCCTTCCTCCTTCCAGAGAGCTCCTCCAAGTCCCCCCTGCACACACATACACACATGCTGTCCCTGGAGCTAGCTGAACACTTTCTAAAAATTTTGTTTTGTGAAGGAAGCTGCTCCTGTGTCTGAGATCCTCCTCCTTTTCTGAAGAACAAGACTTTTCCAAAACTGCAAACGCTTGAGAATTCATACACAATAATATCTCTTTCCTTGTCAGATATGGGTGATCTGCCAGTAACAAACTTAACACAGCACCAAAGCAAAAGGATGAAAGATTAACAACCTTCCCCAGGTTGATTGCTTAGAATCATAGAGTTCTGCCTTGGCTCTCTGCACTGTACTGCTGACTTTTGTGACAATTCCTTCTGGGCCTGACTCACTGAAGTGACTTACCCTTTCTCTTCCCAGTCTGAGGGAGAAGCCATCAGTTGTTAGCAGGTGAAGGCCGGTTATATCATGAGGGAAACCTCAAGATTGAGGGGAATGATTTTACCAAAGCCCCATCTTGCCAGCCAGCTACCTGTGACTGACCGTGCTTTTCTCAATAAAGCACTGTCTAAAATCTCCAAAATCCTGGGAATGTATCTGATTTTTTTAGGTGGATACCTGGATATTAGCCTTTTCTTAAGGGCCTTTTAGCTCATGTGGCTAAATAAAGTCTCTAAACTGTTGGAAGAACCATTAACAACTTTGCCCTATTTTTAGATTCTACCTTATTGGCGGAGGAATCCCTATCATAGTTTGTGGGATAACAGCAGCAGCTAACATCAGGAACTACGGCAGCAGGCCTAATGCCCCATAGTGAGTATTGGATATTGACAGCTTTGTAATAAATTGTTATATGATTTTTGGTTGGCATTTGGGCAAACAAAATATAGATTCTGATTCTTTTGGAAGATATGCGACGTAGCCAAGACTTATTTCAACAATTCAAAGTGGTGCTTAAAAATTGTGACTTCTGAGAGGGCATCTGTCTTGATGTGCTATCTTTTTTTGTTGTTTTTTTCCAGTTGCTGGATGACGTGGGAACCGAGCCTAGGAGCCTTTTATGGACCAGCTAGCTTCATAATTTTCATAAACTGCATGTATTTTCTCAGCATCTTTATACAATTGAAACGACACCCTGAACGCAAATTTGAACTTAAAGAGCCAGCTGAAGAACAGCAGCGTTTAGCTACCAGTGAACATGGGGACCTGAATCATCAGGATTCAGTGTCAGTCTCACTGGTTTCCACATCAGCTTTGGAGAATGAGCACAGTTTTCAAGCTCAGCTTCTGGGAGCAAGCCTCACTTTGTTTTTGTACGTTGCTTTGTGGATTTTCGGGGCCTTGGCAGTTTCTCTGTATTATCCCATGGACTTGATTCTTAGTTGCTTTTTTGGGGTCACATGTTTAAGCCTTAGTGCCTTTCTTATGACGCATCATTGTGTTAATAGGGAAGATGTCAGGCATGCTTGGATAACAGCCTGCTGTCCTGGAAGGAGCACATACTCAGTGCAAGTTAATGTTCAGCCCTCTAATTCTAGTGGGACTAATGGAGAGACTCCTAAGTGTACCAACAGCAGTGCGGAATCTTCGTGCACTAATAAAAGTGCATCAAGCCTAAAAAATTCTTCTCAAGGTTGTAAACTAACCAACATACAGGCTGCAGCAGCTCAATGCCATCCTAATTCTTTACCACTGAACACAGGTCCTCAGCTTGATAACAGTCTGACTGAGCATTCAGTAGACAATGACATCAAAATGCACGTGGCTCCATTAGAGATACAGTTTCGGACAAATGGACATCAAAGCCGGCACCATAAAAACAGAAGTAAGGGACATCGCGCAAGCAGGCTTACAGTGTTGAGGGAGTATGCATACGATGTCCCCACCAGCGTGGAAGGAAGTGTTCAAAATGGCTTATCTAAAAATCGACAAAGCAACAGTGAAGGACATTCAAGGAGTCGAAGAGCCTATTTAGCATACAGAGAACGCCAGTATAACCAGTCCCAACAAGATAGTAGCGATGCTTGCAGTACACTTCCAAAAAGCAATAAAAATAGTGAAAAACCCATTGCTACAAACAACAAAAAAGATGTTCTGAAGAAACCAATAGTAGTTGAACTTGAAAGCCAGCAAAAATCATATGGCTTAAATTTAGCCATTCAGAATGGACAACTTAAAGGCAGTGGACAGGATGGACCATTGCTCACTGCAGACAGCACTGGCAATATTAGGACTGGGTTATGGAAACATGAAACTACTGTGTAGCAATATTGTACTTCATCATGGGAGAAACTCATGTGAACTGTGATTCACACATTCCCTTAAGCTATTAACGCTTTTAAAAACTGTTTACAAACAATTGGTACTTCATTAGATAGGAGAAGAAGAGAATCTGCCATGCAAAATATTTTATACATTTTGGGAGTATCTTGGGTGTTTTTTACAAAGAAACTTCTTCTCTTCTGTGAATTTTTTTTTTTTTTAAGCATCAGGTCCGGTTTGGAGATGCAGACCAGAACTTTTTTTAAAAAATTCTTACAGATCGCCCCCCACGTGTCCACAACACATTTCAAGTTTGTATTAAAATGTGTATTAAAGAGTATTTTCCCAGCAAGCATTATGTAATGTGCAAGTTTGTCAAGATTATTAGCTGTAGTATGTCTTTTTGGATTTACTACTTAATTTCAATGTCTGGGAATTTTACCACAGCTTTTAGTTGCTTTAAAAAAAAACCAAAAACAAATAAAAACCTGTTTCTAAATGTGCCGATATTTCACATGTAATGCAGCTGGTTTGGTTGCATTAATCCTGAAGTTTGAATGAAACAGAGAAACGACATTTTTAAAAATAAAAGGTTTGTGACTTAAAGACAACTCTTGAAATTCCAAACTCAGTTTTGTAAGTGATACATAAATTAGTCATGTTTTCATGTAGTAAAAGTGAAATATGTAGTAAATGCATAATTATGTTTCCTTAATGTTTCTGGCTGATATTGGCCAGCTGACATCTGTACATAACACAGTCCCTAATTCATTGGCCTTCCATCTCCTCAAGCTATTTTGTTCATTTGTAAATTGCAGTAATTCTAGATGTTATTTCTATCATCTGAACCAGAAATGCTCATCATCCACAACTGGGGCTAGATTTCAAAAGAGCTCAGCATCTCCTGTTGAAAACACATTCTATTGCCATCTTGTGAAAGAGTGATAGCAATATCTTAGTAAAGAGTTACCATTTAGATGCTCCAATTTTGATTTTTACACCAGTGGAAGAGCAGAATCAGGGCCTTTGAGTTCACCTGTCCCTCAAATGCCAACTACTAGTCACCTGCAATTCAGTTGATGTCACTGAAATATCCAGTCACTAGTTTCACTTCAGAGCATTTTAATTTAATCTTAAGCAGCAGCTGTGTAAGAAAATAGTTGCTGCTTCTTTATTTGACATTATTCACTTACATGAAAGTTAGTAAACCAGGAAGTGCCCTTTATAGTGTCATCAAATTGACAGGAACTAAGAACAAAGTGGGGGATGAAAATGCCATTTTTAATTCAATTATACTAATCTGGGCAGCAATTTCAAAAATATTTGAATCAGCATAATGATGTAATGATGCACAATTGATTTTAAAAAGTTAAACTGCATAAGAATATGGTGCAAAGTGGAATATGAAAGAAAGGCCAGATAGTGTTAATCGGTATTTATTTAGTTTCCTGTATTTCACTTTGTTTATATTGATTATATCTCAACAATCATTCTACATTTTGGTAGTTTGTGGGGACTAGAAGACAGTATAATGTTTGTCTGTGAAGCTTATTCTTTTGCTGCTTTGAGGATTTTGTAGCTATATATGCAAAGTGTTGTTTGTGATTTATTACTTGTTGGTTGATGTTCCTGTATCTAAAGCTATTTGTATTCATATGTTAGCAGATTTTTTTTTTTTCTGTTGTATAGTACTAGCATATAATTGAGGAAGACACTCATCTCTTGAGCACCTTCTGCTGCTGCATGTGGTACTGCAGGCCTCCTCCTGCTTTTGGTGCCATCTGAAGGTTGTCAGCCTCGCTGGGTGGGTCTCCAGCGCTGTGGCCAAGTCACTAAGTCCAAAAGAACCCCTTCCAAGGTAGTAAAGAGGCCAATAAATTAAGTGTCTCTGCCCTCACTAGGTCTTTGGTCCTGCTGTGGGCCATTTAAATTCAACCCTTCATTCAGGTTTTCAAACAAGCCTGTCCCTTTTTTGGGCTTTACACCACTTCACCTTTGACCAGTGGTGGAGCCCAGGCCTGCCCGCTACTGTGCGTTCCAACCCAGGTACCCTATAAATAGCAGTCATTCACTTCAATTCATTGCTGTTACTTCCCTGGGCCTCTTCCCACCTCACCTGTTTATCTTCATCCGTTACCTTAAGGTTAAAATTCTCATGTTCTCACTCTCCCAACCAAACTCTGGTTGCCCCTTGAGCTCCTTTGGCCAGAGAGGAGCACCCTTCCTTGCTCCTCTAGTCCAGTCCAGGAACTGACCTGCTAAGTCCTTGAAGCATCTCCTTTTCTCTAAGGCTGCTTGGTTGCTTCTGTGCAGTCCTCTCTCGGCAGGCTTGGAGGACCCACCTTCACAGCTCCTTTCTGGGGGCAGGGTGTAGCAGGACCATGGGGACCTACAGCAGGGGGTCACAAAGGGCCTGGTACACCTAAGTCACATCACATCATAACTACTCCTTTCAAGTTGCAATGTAAATATGCTCTCTGACTGGTGAACTGCAATTCATAACCTGTCAGAATCCCTTTCTTTATTTAATTTTAACATTTCAAAGTTGTCCCTGGAGGAGTGACAAATTAATTGGTGTGAAATTTCTAAGGTATTATACATGCTTCTCCATTAATATCCTGTATGCTTCTCCATTAATCCTGAGACAATAGCAATATTAAAATGGAATTATAGTTGAGAATATATGTTGAATATATATAGTAATTTAGTGTAAAATATATTTTGAAAATATTAACATTATCCCAAAAGCAAGCATTTTAAACCCAGGAAATTCAGAGTTGGGGTTAATCTTAAAAGAACTCTAAATCTGTTACATATAGAAGTGCATGGCTAGTGCTGCCAAACAATATTAATTCTACACTGTAGTGACACCATATAATAACCCATTATTATAATTATGAACCGTGATTTTAGTAATTGTGGTCCCAGATTAGGTTAATCTGTTTTCTTTTTTCCCCTACTACACTATCACTACAAGGCAGTGTTAAAATCGTGTGGGCTCCCTAACTGGTCATTCCCAAACTTCAGTGTGTTAGGATTTCTTTTAAGTACCTTAAACTCTGAATTTTGTGGGTTATAACACTTGACTTGGCCATAATAACATTTTTCTAATGTATTTTACTCTAAATTGCTGATGTGTACTTCAGCCTTAACTCATCCTTAATGTAGTTTTTGTCTGAGAATTCCTGTAGGGTTTTTTTTAATTACAAAATGGATACATTAACACAAAATAAGAAATGGGGAAAAATGTTACTATGTGATATTTAATACTTTTGAATTATTAGAAATATCAACCTTTTTTATTTAAACTTTTTATAGCCAGATTCACTGGTATACTCTAACTTCCCCCCGACTCCTGAGCAACATACATCAGCCAAAGCATAATGGTCAATTCAGCTAGATTTACAGCTGCTTTGTTTCACCAGAGCAATGCAAAGCAGCTAGAGTGTAAACTCCAGCTTTCTCTGCTTTTTGCACCCCCTACATTCCTTTGCACACAACCTTCCCTGCTCCTGGGGGAATTCTGCACCAAAAAAATCCAAAATTCTGCATATTTTATTTGTCAAAATAATGCAATATAATCACACCAGTTTCACTTATTTTGGTAATTTATTTAAACTACCATACAGAAAAAATATCACAATAACTATTCAGCATTTCCTAAACACATGAAAGTTAAGTTACAGATGCTTGGTAACCAATACCCTGCATTCCAGTTATAATCCTGGATTTTCATTTATATTACAGGACTTTTATTTTGGTGTTCTGTAAAGTAGAATGTTGCTTTAAATGGCTCAGACTTTACAACATAAAAGTTGTACAGTTTTGCTAATCATTGTCCTGCGTTTTTTTTAATGGGTGTATATAAAATAGATCCTGAGCTGTAATCTAACCCAATTATGCCTCTCTGTCACAGGGGAAAAAAGCAAGAAAGCACATAGACCTTCCTAGCTAAGGATTCCATTACTGTCATTTAGGCCTTGGTTACACTTGCGAGTTACAGCGCTGTAAAGCCTCCCCCAGCACTGTAACTCACTCCCCATCCACACTGGCAGGGCACTTATAGCGCTGTATCTCCCTGGGTCTACCGCTGCAGGTACTCCACCTCCCCGAGAAGCATGAGAGATACAGCAGAGTGGCTGCGACTCATGGGTGTGAGTGTAAACGCTTGTGGCGCTGTACTAATCACCTTGACAAGTGGCCAATCCACTCCATTGTTGTGACCAGCTGCAGGAATGCGCAAGTGCTGGTTTCAAAGCTCATACCACAGAGAAAAAGCAAACAGTTTGCTATTTGCTTTAAATGAGTGAATGAATGAGCAGGGGGCCGGGAGTTTGGAACTTGCAAAATAGAGTGCCGACACGCTCCAAAAAGCACTCTCTCCCGCCACACTCCCTGTCACACTCCACTCCACTCCCCCACACCCCGTTTTGAAAAGCACGTTGCAGCCACATGAATGCTGGGATAGCTGCCCATAATGCACCGCTCCCAATACAGCTGCAAATGTTGCAAGTGTGGCCACTGTGCTGTCAGCTGTCAGTGTGGACGGACTGCAGCGCTTTTCCCTACTCAGCTGTATGGAGACAGGTTTACCTCACAGTGCTGAACAGCTGCAAGTTTAGCCAAGACCTCACAAGAAGGATCCTTTACAGCAGTCGTTCTCAAAGCCGGTCCGCCACTTGTTCAGGGAAAGCCCTTGGCGGGCTGGGCCGGTTTGTTTATCTGCTACGACTGCAGGTTTGGCCGATCGCAGCTCCCACTGGCCGCGGTTTGCCGCTCCAGGGCAATGGGGCTGCAGGAACCGGCACAGGCCAAGGGATGTGCTGGCCGCCCTTCCTGCAGCCCCCATTGGCCTGGAGCAGCGAACTGCGGCCAGTGGGAGCCGTGATCGGCCGAACCTGCGGACGTGGCAGGTAGACAAATCGGCCCAGCCCGCCGGGGTTTTCCCTGAACAAGCGGCGGACCTGCTTTGAGAACCACTGCTTTACACCACTCTGGCAAGGTAAAGGAGCCTTAGTTGACGAAGAATGGGAATAATTAAGTAACAATGAGAACATTAGTAGCCTGCTTGCTTAGTTGTTACATTTCTGCTCTGCCTCAGGGACACAGCCTGCTTCATGCACCCCTATGCCTCCAAGCCTGGGATGCAGCAGCAGCGACTGAGAGGGACAGAGTGAGTCGCTCTCACCTGTTCTCATGCAGGCAGGATAAATCGATCCCAGAAGTGCTCACCGTCAATGTCGGTAATCCTGCTCTGTGAGAGGAGTAGGCGGAGTTGACGGGGGAGCCTGCCTGCCGCATGTGGACCCGCGTTATTCACGTAGCTGAAGTTGTGTATTTTAGTTCGAAGTGGGGGCTTAGTGTGGACCAGGCCTGAGTCTATATACCTATTTCTTTTTTTCCCCCAGTGGGCTTAAAGAGAAACCTAACTAAGAAATAATAAGAAAACTAACTACAAAAACCCTCATCTAAGTAGCTATGGGGATGCAGAAGTACACTGTGTAACTCCATCTTGCTACCACAGACAGTAAGGAGGAACTGCTTGGCAACTGGGGCTGCTCTGCATTTTATACCCTTGTGGGAGGGAAGGAGTGCAAGATCATTCAGGGTG